CAAAAAAAAAAAAAAAGTACACGAAAAAAAAGGTTTTAGATTAGAATTTTATTTACTGTGACTTTACGAGTTGTTAGTACTTAGTAGTAGTTGTTATATAATAAAATAAATAAAAAATATAAATACTTAATAATATAAAAGTAACAGAAAATGGGGAAAATACTTAAAAAAAGTTTAATTAAATTTGATGCTAGCAATTATATATATATATAGTATATAAAGACACCTTTTTCAGCAATTATTTATATTTTTTATACTGAGATCATAGTAATAGAAAATAATGTAAACTAAATTATGTCACTCACAATATTAATTTTTATTTGTTTAAAAATTATGATATGTTTGGATATTGTCAAAAGTTTTAGTCTGTCTCACAACACGTTTTGTTGATTTTCACAATCATCATTAACAGTAAATTGGCACTTATAATTCCAGCTAGTGTTTATAAAATTAGCCTTCACAAAAAACAATTCTCTTTTAGCCAATCTTTGGATTTATTGATTATAGTCCAACATATAACTGAATATCCGCGTTGGGTGTCAATTATTACACTAGATGCCAATCTTCAATTCCTAATTTTGACTTTTAAAGAGGCATAGCTCAAAAGTCGTCAAACCACACATGAAAACGAAGACCTCTTTGGCATGGCGGATCCACAAAAATAATTTGGAAGGTACAACTTTTTAGTTATTACATCATATATTTGACACTTACCTTCCACGCATTGTTGTTACATGAGACTATAAAACACTACAAGTTGACACATAAGTTCGAAAAAAACTCTTGATTTACATGTATAGAAAGAGTTATGATTAAATGAGAATGAGTGATAGTGAATTGAAAGAAAAAAAAAATGAATCCACGAAATGCCGATCGAGCTCCTAGTGAGTATGCCCGTGTGATGTTGATCGATACACACAAGAGACTCATTCTTAAGAGTACGAAGATATCTGGTTTCTCTAATATTTATCCCATTGAATCTAACTCAGTAAGAAACCCTCAGCTCTTGCGTTTTCTCCGAATCCCCAAATCCGACACAATAAACCCTCGCCTTTTCACTTTCGATAGTGCCTCTTCACCACGGGTGCTCCGCACCCCATAGATTCTTCCAACTCCTGAGCCGGTGGTGAGGTTCCTGATGGGTCTTCAATCCCCTACTGGCAGGCGGTTCAGTTTTGTCTTGGTTGGCCATGGCACGGTTGGGTTGGTTTAGCCGGCGCGCCGGCGACGTCGTCAAAGCGAGCTTCGGTCGATGTTTAGCGGCGGCACGGGCAAAGCAAGTATTTTGCTTTTTTCCTGTTCCTTTCCTTCCCTAGTGTTGAGAAGGTTGGTTCCTCCGATGTGGTGGCTTTCGTCTCCAGTCGCTTTGGTTTGCGGCCTCCGGTTTGTGGTAGGGGTCAGGTGCGATTCTCCAGGTGTTGTCCCGGTGGTGACCATTTTAGAGGGTTTCGATCCTTTGGTCCAAATCTAGTTAGCTGGTAGGGAAATTTCTAGATCTGTGTGTTCGACCGAGGGTTGACTATGTTCTTTGGTATTGCCTTGGGTTTTGGCTCGAGTGGTCTTGGTTCGGAGTGGCTTCGGCTGTTGGTAATTGCCTTGGGTTTTGTCCGTTCGGGAACATTGTGTTATTCTCCCTTGGAAGCATTATGTTATTCTCCCGTTTGGAAGTGTATTTTCTAGAAAGTCATGTTATTAACCGAACTGCACGATTTGTAACAGGTAGATATAATTTGATATTATTATTCAAATAATATTAAAATATTTTTTGCTATAATTCTTTTAATAGTAAGTGCACCAATTTAATTACAAAATCAAACTTACTACTTTAGATTATTCCAACAATCTCTTTCAATATATATAGATATAGATTATATACTAACATGTGATCTGACGAACAACAATGTAAATTGTTAGCTTCGAAAAAAAAAATTATATATACATTGTTATTAACTATAATGACAAATCAGGTGGTCTGGAACTGTCATATAAATTATTAGATTAGAAAGAAAATTTAAAATATTTATAATATAAATCTCTATAAATTATTAAATGATAAAGTAAAATTATATTGATGTAACTAAAAAGTATTTGTTGACATCAATTTCCTACGGACGTCGGATGAACGACGCGTGGACAGAAAGGGAAAAAGGGGGCCGACCCGAGTAGACTAGGATAATGTTCCCGAGTTGTGTAAACCGACCTCGGAGGACCTACTACGTCAAGATACCGACCTCACTGCATAGGTGACCTCAAATATGGGCCGACGTCGGAACCGACAGACAGCATTAAATGCACGTCCATCAAGATAGCTGAGGGCCACGTGAGGACATCATTGCAAAGGGGACCCACTTGCTGAAAAAGTTCTGGGTCCTGTCACACTGTATTAAATGCCGCCGCATCCCCTCAAAAGACGAGCCCACAGTTACTATAAATAGCAGTATTAAACACAATACGAGGATCTTCCCCGACACATTTAATTCCGCATTTATCACCTCGGTTCTGTAATATTCTCCAATATAATTGTACTATGGAAAACCGACCTCAAGTCCAGAAAACCGACTTGAGCCAATCATAAATTATTCAACGCTTAACCAATAAATTCATATTATTTCCACGCGAATCAAAGAAATTAACAATAAAAAAGGTTGATCAAATTCGTTTATCAACAGTTTGGCGCTAGAGGAAGGGCCCATAAGATACTTTGAGGTCAATCTTTGAATCCAGCATCCACCTTTGAAATCACTAA